TGCCATCAACTAAGCTGGCATTTTACATTTTGTTTTTTCTGGGTTATGACACCGTGTAGTCTTGGGTGGCTATCAGTATTTCGAAGGAACATGTCGCCTTCACCTTATGGGCGAAAGATAAGTGTACTCTTCTCCGAAACGTTGACAGCTACCTACAAAATCACACAGCGTCGTGAAGTGGAAGGTCACAATCGAGAAAGTCATAATTTTTATTCTTCACGAAATAGACATTATTACATTATTCAGATTATCAAGTCGACGAGGATGAGATAGACGGAATATGTAGCACCCATGAACATACAAGAAATTAATAAAAAATTTCAGTTGGTAAACCTGAAGATTAAAGAATACTTGGAGGGCTTAAGCGTATATTTGAAGATAACATTAAAATGGATCTTAACCGAACTCGTTTGAAAACGTGAAATGCTTTCATTGTGATCGGAATAAAGGGTTTGGTTCTGTAAAAGAAGGGTAATTTCTTTACTGCCTGAGCGATCACAAATTGTTCAGGAAATGTAATTATTTATTGGCTGACTTACGTAATTAACGCTGCCGGTTGTGTTTAGGTTCAGTTTCAGATAGGGCGTACGCTATATTTCTCCCATCCATATCAACGGTTTTCTCAGAAGAGATAGTGTTTATGTAGGATTTGAGGTTTTCTGATAGTCTGATAGAAGTTTACCGACGTTTCAGAGGTCTTTGCTGCCTCCAACATCAGGGCGATGATATTTATTCCAACAGCTTTGAAATACATAACCATTTCAGTCAGACTAATAGCAGAAAATAGGGTCTACTGTCTTACGATAAAGAGTTTATCCTGTTACAGTACTTGAACGTAAGGAAAAAGTGTTTTGTGTATTTTTTCATAACTTTTTCGTTAATAAATTTCTAATCTACCGACATCCCTTTTTGGCTACTTATCAAATGGCAATACAAAGGGTAAATTTTGCTCCCAGTGTACCAAGAGTTATAGTACAGATTTATGGAGAGCCTCTTCGTATGTTCAGAGCATACTTAAATATTAAAACGCGTCTTATGACCGTCACTAAATTTCATGTTTAAGGTAAGAGCGAATTCGTACAGCATTACCATTCGGACAATGGAGCTCAGGTGAATGAAGACAGCTTAGAACTGTCAGCGTTACAATGCTTGGTGACTTAAAGCCGCGCGGGAAGGTTGGGGGGGGGGGGGGGAGTCCTTCAATGGCCTTGGAAGTATAAAATTTGATGACGGCTACCGAAGATGAATCTGATTTTTGTCTTCCCTTAGTCCCGTAGTCTATTGATTTTATATGTGTATCCTGTATTTAAGTATTTGTCTGTCGGTAATGTGGAAAGGACCACGTTTGAAAGAATTGGGGCAGGAAATAACATAAATGTCGCTCAGGTAACCGTGTCATTCAAGTAATTCTAACATTTGAGTTGAAATATGTCTAAATTTATAAACTGATCTTAAAATAAAATCAAGTAGGCCTAAAGTGTCATTTATTTTGCTTACTAGTTTAGTTAAATAATGATTTTATTAATACAGATAGATCCGTTGCAATCTACTACTGCTCACTCCATTAGCGTTTTCCGGAACATTTTCTGCAAGCTTTCGAGACACTTTTTTTGTATTTGGTAGGACTTCTTGGATGGGGTATCAGCTTGTAGCTTAGGCCTCTACCTACGTAGAACAACACAACGTTGTCCATCATATTCACTGCAATAGAACCGATTATCTCACTGTTCGAGCAACAAGACCCACTCTGGGACAACGCGGTTATTGTGATCAAATAACCCCTCATGTTACTGATTTAAATAACAAATTTTGCTATAATCAAGTCGGACGTTTTACTTCTGGAGGAAAATAGTCGCCAGTAGGCCACAATTAACTAAGCAGTTATTAATTATAGGGTTGGAATTTATGTGACCTGCATTCTGCTGAAATGTGATGACTTTATCGGAATGTAAAAGCATTACAGCTGCTGGGAACATTGAAAGTCCTTTGTGCACAACTATATTAACATTCACACTCGACTCCTTCTATTCATTATCTAATATGTAACGTGAGCTTTCTCTACAGATAAAGGCGGAAGGGTTGTGAAACTGGCCACAATCACTATTTTGTGCTGAGTTTATTAATGTATTGAAACTTATATGCACAACTCTTTTACGCCATCATGACGTGGTGTTATGATGTAGGATTGTTATGAAGTCTAGCTGAGACCATTTCTGTCACCTCTGCGGACTATTCTGTGTAGCGGATTACGTTAAGTGTTTTGTGAACCGAGTAACAGCTGTAAAAGACAGACTATATGCAACTGTTAGGGTTTTTAAATGTGTGCAGCCGTGCAAGTCATAAAAACCTCATTCTATTCCGCCCGCTAATTAACATACATGTCAGATAAGAGAGGTGTTCTGTAATTTTGTGCCCGGGTGGATAAAATCTACAGAACAGGTAGCAGCACAGTCAGGATCATATGCACGCTCACAGCAGGATGTTAAGTAATGGTACCCTTCCACACGCTTCGTACGTAATAAAATTTCCAAGTTAAAATACTCTATGCTCTGTACTTACTGTGTTCCCCAGAGGTAATACTGAAGCAGGGTAGCGTTTAATTCATTTATGCCTGTCCTGAAAACAGCTAACGCAAACTTATGCGAAACTCATTTAAACCCGGTGTTATAAATAATATTAATCTTACTAGGTAATTTGACAATTTGATGATACTGATTGAACACGAAATGTCTCTAGATATTTAAAAACATGTGTTATACGGGTAAATTACGTCCTCTAGATAAGGCAACGGAACGAAACCGTGTATTTCAAGTTCGTTAGAAATGATAGTAAGAAGGGTTCAGAAGGGTGTGGGGCGAGGCGTTAAGGAAGCACATACAGTTCAGACTATAAACATTTTTTCCTAGCGGCAAAACTTTGTAGCTCGATGTCCTAAGGTATCGTTTTTTGTTTACGTTATATAAGCATTTGTCTTCCATTCTATGCATAAGCTAGTGACGTAGGCGAAACGTTTGGTTTGATTCAGGCCGCTGTACATCGCATTAATTTCTCTGTCAGAGCGCTGCTATATATATATATATATATATAATTACAACAAGAGTATAATATCAAGCGGATCTGTGAGAGATAGGAGTTGAATGCGATTGGATTTGGCTGGCTCAGGACAGGGGCCGGTGGAGGGCTTTGGTTAATTTCTATGATGAAGCTTCAGATTCCCTAAGTCACCTAGTTAGTTAGTAAATTCTTTATTTATTAAGGCTAATTAGATATTCGCGTTCTTAGATATTTGCTTCTTATCAAAGAGAAGACAGGCTATTTAAATTTGCTGCAACTTCTCGGAAAGCATTGATTAATTAATATGAGTTTGGCTGATATTTTTATTGTTCTTCTGTGACGTGTTTTGAGAGATATTTTACCTATAGGCTAATATGTTTGATACTCATATTACAAAGTACTATGGGTGTATGATATTAGTTGTGAATGACTTAAGTTTTACGTCATGTTTCAAATAGGTGTGTCACGTAATACGGGAGAAAGCAAAGATGGGGATAAAAGTGCGAAAGAGGTAAAAGAAAAATGATTATAAGAAGAAAATAGGAAAGTATGAGAATTGAATACGGAAAGAAAAGGAAAGAAGAAACGTACAAAAGTGAAAAAGAATGGAAGAGATACGGTGAGAGATTAAGATATAGTATAAATTATTCCAGTTAAATTTATCGGTCTTTTTAAAGCGGCTTATATAATAAATAAAGAGATAGAAGTATATTATTAACAGTCTCGTGTCACTTCCTGCGAAACTGTATTTTAATCTAGTGTGGCGAATGTAAGTCAACATCGCACTTTTTGTTTGGGTTCCACGAAGCTCGAAGCTGGAGCTGCTAACAGCCGTTTCGTTAATTAGATTTTCGTCTGTATATGGCTGAAGAAGACTTGGGTTGCTCATTAAGTTAAAGTGCCGCTCGTGTGCAGGCGTCATTCAGTCTGAATGAGCTTCTTTAATTGCTGGACCCTGTTCTGCGGGTGTCTGTATACAGCTGCGGCCTTTGCATTGGGCTGTTTTTACATCGCAGGTTTTGTAGGCAGACAGCAGTTTGTATATTCTGGTTCCAAATCTCCTCTGATCCCTCGGGAGATACTCGTACGTGTTGTATATTACATCTTAAAAGCTTTGAGTACGTATCAGATATTCTGAATAGAGTCTTACCACTCTGACCTACAGCGATCAACAACAAATTGTAGACCATTTCACGATGGACCGTTCACTCAATGGTAAATAAAAACAACCGGCGAATTATCCTATAATTCGATCTAATCATTCTTCTACATCCCGACATTGAAGCACTTTATTGTCGTTTTATAAAAAACCCTTATATTTATTGGAGTTAAGGAATTTGCTGTTTGACATGTGCGAAAGAGAAAAGAAGACAATGCTAAAAAAAAAAAAAAACAGTTTTTCTCTCACCGGCGCCCCACGGCGGGAGTAATATGCCTCTCAGAACATTGCTTTACAGAAAACAGATTTAGTTATAAGTAAGTGTAATTCAGTGTTTGGACTTTGCAGTTTGCTTTTATGTCTCAGTTAAGATGTTAATCCTGAAAAATAGGTGTTATGAAAAAACTGCAGAAATTTCTTCGTTTTGATAGTCTATAGAAAACCCAAATCTATGACAGAATCCTGCTCTATTTTGGGCACATTATGCGAAGAGAAAGTGGCCTAGAAAAACTAGTCCTGGAAGGCAAGGTCCAGGGTTAAAGGCCAAGAGGAAGATGCCCAGGGAGATGGATAGATCAAGTGAGCGTGCTCACTGGAAATTCGCTCCGAGACGCCACTACAAAAGCACTATACAGGGAAGAATGGCGACAGGAGATTTGTCGGGCCCTGCAATTCGAGGACACGACGCCTCAGTCATGAGGCAGTACGACGAAGAAGAAGAAAAGCCAAGACGAGTATAAGTAATGTTTTCCCCAGAGTGAATTAAGCTTTTCTTTTAATTTTTCAGTCCGACGGTTCCAGATCTAAACACACAGATGAAAAGAACCGATTTTCCTGGAACTATCCTTCAATTTGTGTTTGGGCCACGTACCTTTAAAGTAAAATATTATCTATTAAAACTAACATGACAGAAACATATTTCATTTCTTTCTTTTAAACAAATTAATTGGGATTTATTTAAGCTTCATCTACAGTAAATTAATTGCTAATTGTACACTTCAGAGTTATGTCTAGCAGTGGTGGCATATTCGTGGGTGCGTTCGAGCGGAGTGAATGGGCAGACTCCGATAAGTCTGTGAAAGATGACCCCAAGACAACTCACTAACATAATCAGATTTGTTGAGAAGCTAGATTCTCTGCGACATACGCCTAAGATTTTGTATCTGTTTTGTAAATACACATGTTTTAATAAGGATTTTGGGACTTCACACTGACCACAGCCTGGTGTCTGGAACGTGTTTGAACCCTACCGACTCTCCCAGAGCCCCAAGTTATTCATTCTGAGAGTAAATTTGATAGAAGCGTTAAGCGTTTCACTAACCCTAACCCAGTCGTGAGCTCTGGGAACACTTAAGTATTACTTTTTACATTTTAAGTTCGCATGTACTTGTTTGTTTCGACCCAGGCATACTGAACAAGTCCAATCTATTTACGATCTATACCAAAGCATATATATATATATATATATATATATATATATATATGTGTGTGTGTGTGTGTGTATGTGTATGTGTGTGTGCTTCTTAGAAATGTTTGTAAAAATTTCATAATGGAATGCGCTACATGAGGGTAGTATATTCATCACAATACATCTTTAAACTTCATTGACGACACAAATACACACCTTGCTGGAAAGCCAGCCTAAGTGCGGGTACGGAGTCAAAGACCACAAATCGATAGCAGAGTCTTGATTTCTACCTACCTTTTCACCTTTCCTATTCATCATACATTGACGTAGCTAAGGCTCGTAGTTATTTTGCTTCCAGTGCACTAGTGTAGTAGCGTGCTAAGTGTCAAGCTGCCGAACAAAGAGATAAATTAAGGAAAGAAGCAGGTTTCCATAGTGAAGCGTCTACAGTCTCGTTTAACACAGTACTGAGAAATGAAGTGTGCATGCGTCTAGAGACAGAACTCATGCGACGGTGGAAAATATCAGTAGACATACTCGACTTTTAATTTTAATTCTCTGTTTTGCCAGCGTCTTGTATGGGTGTACATCAATAAAACCGACCAATGTTTGAAGCCTTACTGCTGCAGGTAAGCGTTCATTTGAGCGAGTAAAACAGAATTGATTTTGCCGAATTTAGCGGTCCAGTAGTTAGGTTTGCCAGGAGGTTCCGCGTTCAATTTCGGCCAAGACACCGACCATCGTGACAGTTCTGTGGTTTTACTCAGCTTTTTCAGGCAAATACCTTGATAGAATCTTAAACTACACCAATACCGCCTACTACTACATCCTTTACATTTAATTAGCTATTAATTAATCATTTTATCGTCAACGTTGTTGGTATAAATAAATAGATAAATATGACCTCACCTCCTCACAGAGAAGAACCGGTGTACGGTTTCACTTTACATGTTCCAAAATATTTTCAAAGAATTCGCTGGTAGCGTCACTCGTCGCTTAATACTATTTATTCCTCCACTGTGCATGTGTTCTACGTTTAAGATTCTTCGTGACACCGTTGAAGAGGATAAACTTCACGAGGGATGCTGGGCTACTTTGCATGTGCACCCACTGTACCAACGAGAGCCGCACATCAAACTACTACCCTGCATGTAAAGAATTTTACGCTCCTCCTCTAAATGAGAGGTTCCTCTGCACCCCTCCCACTTTTAATTAAACCCAGAGCAGAGTTGCTCCAGTGATGGGCCCCTATGGATAAAGCCTTTATCCTTTCTGTCATATCAAGGGTTCAGAATAGCCACTGTGTCTGAACAAGGACTCTGATATTAATGGTGGTGATGGCACTGAAAATTTGTATCTTGAGTTTTGGCTCATCACATCTTAGATCGCTTATTTAAATTAAATCCCTTCCCACTGAATGTAATTGTATTTTATGATAGATGAAATCTTGCAACCCTAGTACCATCTTCAAATTTCAGAAGTCCATTCTGTTTTACAGAAGCGAGTATAAAGTCAAAAATCCTGACAAATTATTTTGCACACTTAGATATAGGCCTACTAATACGATTTATTTTCACTTTGTTTCTTTTTTGTATGTGCGTTCGAAATTAAAATTTGCAGAAAACACCTATGTCCTCTGCCACCTCTGTCTGTCTGTTCGTAAAGTTTTTACTTTCTAAGTAACTTGATGGTGTAGAGTCATTTTACAGAATCTAATAAGTTACTTGTAATTCGGTTAGTTTAGGGAACTCGCCAATGGTCCCCATCCTAGTCAGTTTAATTCATTCCACGTCATCTTTCTTTAAGTTCCGTTTTATTATTATCATCCTATCTAAGACTATTCCTCTCATGTGCTCTTTTCCCTTGTGATATTTCTATTTCTCATCTCCCCCATTAAACTATATGCCTCGGCGACATTATTCTCCTCGATTTGATCGCCGTAACACTATCTACCGAAAAGCAATTTTCACCATTCTCGCGAGCATTAGACCCAAAATTTTAACATTAGCATTTCCTCTATCACACATTATAATTTCCCACCAAGCGTAAGCGTAGCTAAACACATTCTTTTAAACACAATATTTTGTAAAGAATTCCTTCAAAGGAGGGCACACAGATGCCCATTAAGTGTATTATAGTGAAGTGTTGAACAGTTGAATATAATATAACTTACATTCCTTATCTACGTTGAATCCTAACGTGACAAGTACGACTTGAGTCCGATATTTAAGTAAAGAGCATCCTTTTTAAGTATCAATGTTATCCTTTTAGTAGTTGTACACTTAATAGCCCCCATTTTGAAACAAAAGGTTCCCGTAAAATGTAAGACGGCTGAACAATGGCAGAAGCTCCCTGGTGGTATAAAATACTCCCCCATCCCACTCAGGCAAGCAAGCTTTTGTGCTGCAGATGCCTGATTGGAATAGAAGAGGTAGACCTTGTTAAAAGTCCTGTAGGAACTAGGTTCCACTCTTCAAGAAGCCTGGG